CATTCAACAATTGATCCATCAACCAAAAGGTTCCTGACCTCGAAGTAGAACCTCCCGGACAGGTAGCCTCTCTTGCTCACAACGCAGATAACGGGGTCGAAACGTTTGGGGTTGTCGGGGACGATGTGTAGAAGCTCGCCCCGACCGCCTGCTTCCCGTCGGCTGACAGGACGATGTTTGGATGGGGCGGTTTCTGGGTCTAAAAACATCAACTAAGGAGATAAGACGGAGAAACGTTTAATTAATAGAAAGGAAACTGCAAAAAACATCACTTCTGCATCCACTTGCTGCTACTGATTGAGTCTGTTTCTGTACACATATAGTGCAGTCACTCTAACACGGACTGATCAAACTTTTTACAACAATAGTACAGATTTTAATCATAAATAAACTAGGATCGGAGAATTTCTGACTTCACTCCCATAATGCTATTTCTCTTAAAGTGGACCTATCATGCTATATTTGAATAATATATTGTAGGGCCATACCTATATAAGGCATATTTATACGTTTTATTTTTCAAAATACCAAACAGATCATGCATTTTATCCATTCTTCATTTCACTCAATTTAACACAGCCTTTCATGCTCGGATTCAGTGAGAACAGCACCATCTGGTGGCCTGAAATATGTACTACAGCGTCTCCAGCGCTTTCGAACGGCAATGTCCGTGGCTGTCTCCTCCTGATTGGTGGAGTTGGCCCAATAGCCGTAGCGCCACCGTCCTGACGTCAGAAAAGTGTTCAAATATGGATCAGTCTGTATCAGATCCGTTGCAGCCCCTTTTTAAGAGATTTGTGTATGGAGGAAAAGAGAGAGGGCCGTGTTTTCTGACTCTTGGTGAGTTCCCTGACACACAGGGGACACATGTATAAATGACGTACTAAGGTGCATTTTGCATGATAGGTCCCCTTTAAGTTGAATATAGAGTTCAAAACCAAATATTATGCATGTTGTGGTGGCATGGTAAATGTTTACATTGCAAATATACTTTTGAACAGCCAATCAAGAACTGACCTTCGCATTGGGGGAAAATAACCAACAGGATAGTACCATTGCCACTGCGATCACTTCTACACTATGAGTCATTTACCACTTTTCTCCATACATATGTTCAGACGTTTCAGGAAATTAAAGTATCTTTGAAATTATTCAGGTGCCATAAGGGTTAGTGTGTAGAAAATGGGACTGTTTCAGTGATTGCTTTCATCCCTATTATCTCGGTTTCCTCAGGTTTCTGTGACACAACCACAAGTGGGCAGCAAAGTCCTGCCATATTACTTTAACTAATGTATAGCAATCCAGTATGCCAATGTGCATTTCACCTAAACATGGCAAGCAAACATCGATTAAAGTGAGGTCCTACCTGCATATCTGTGCATCTTCTTCATCTCTGCCAAGAAGATAATGAGACATTTTAGATATGGAATTGAAACAAAACTTTAGAGAGGCTAAATGAAGACATAAGTGAAGCACATTTTCTACACTTTACCTTCTTTCTTCAGACTATTCAATTCTTTACTCAGAGTGTTGTCCAGTTTAGACACGGCTCCCCTCACCGTACCCACACAGAGTTCGGGGTGAATGCCGATCTCCATCCACTCTTTGGTGGGTGGAGAGGACATAAGAGAGGGTGACCTCTATATGAGGGAAACACGGTGAAGAAACGTAAATGTTATCATGGTGAAAAAGGTGTTTATGAAGCTGGAACCTAAAGATCCAGTAATAACCGTTTCTTTGGGTGGATGTTAACCTGTAAGACGTGCAGATGGTCCTCCGAGTCCCTCAGCTCCTCCAGCTCAGTGTTTCTCCTCTGCAGTTCAGAGACTTCCTGTTTCAGATCACCAACGAGCTCCTCTGTTCTCCTCTCGGCTGCTTTCTGCTTCTCTGAGATCTCTGTGTTGACTTCAGTGTGTCTCTCGTGGACGCAGCGAATCAGAGACGTGAAGAGACGGTCGCTCTCCTTCAGCTCCTTTTCTGCGCTCGTCTGGACCGCCATAAGAAATGTAAACATTAATATGTTACATTTGAAAAAAAGTGTTATCATGCTCATCAGTAACTTGCAATGACAAAGCCTCTCTATATGGTAGAGAGTTTGATTTAAGTGAAATCAATGGCAGATATGAGTTATTTTATTCAAACAAATACAAACATGTAGGCATTTAACTTGATTAGGACTCACGTTGCTGAGCTTCAGACAGTTTTTGATCTCCTCCACTTTCCTCATGCGCTCCTGGATCATCTGCTGAAAATCTGCTTCAGTATTCTTTATTTTTACCTGTTTTAGGAAGAACAGAAATTGAAACTTTCAGTCGACAGAAAGTACGTTTTTCACCAGCAGAACGAGCAAATGAGACCATTGGACGAACATGTAAAACAGAAATAGGTAAATATGACTAATTTCATGACTGACTGTTTGAACATTACACGCTTAAGTTCAGTACCACAGTTAGATGCCTTTAACAATATTTGTAAGGTCACCATTCCCCCAAAACAGGTGTAATCCTAGAGAGCCAATGCTGAAAGGCCTCAAAGCGTCACTCTCCTTTATCTCCATCAGGGGGATGAAGTCCAATTGTATAAAAGTCTATGAGCAACTGACTCTACTTCTCACTTGATTTATTACCACAGTAAAGATTTTCCTAATTACTTTATAGTCTTAATAGCTTGTTCTAACAATTCTTCAAAACAGCATGTTGTCCATTTTTAGAGAAGTAAGAGTCCTCGTCACAGTTTAGAATAAAATAGACAATACAGTCAGGTCTGCTTATTAGGATAACCTTTGCCTGTATGGTCATGGTTTGCGTCTTTGCATTGACTTTCTATAACTTGATCAATAACACATAGTTGTCTCTGAANCTTCCTCAAAGGAGAAGGTGTAGCTCCGTCTCTGAGACCGGAGGGGAGAGTCGTCATTTGCCGCCACGTGTAGTAAGTAACACTGGTCTTGCTGTTACCGAAGCCAATAGACGTGCAGGCCACCGCCCACCGTGTGCCGGGGTACAACCTCTTTTCCTAGGGGTCACAACGACAGGTGGCTATTCTCGAGAGACAAGATTTCACTATCGGACCTGGTGGTCTGGAGCCGTGTTGGAGGGCTATTGGAATGGGGTCAAGGACGTCCACTGATTGCGGTGGAAAGTCAGCCCTGGGGTTAATGGTTGCCTTCTAGGCCTGGACTCCCAGTCGATGTCTCCCTGGGTGGCCGGTGTCTCCCTGACAAACAACAACGGCGTTCCTGTTGCCGTTCGGACGGGAGAGACGATGTCCGTTGGTAGTACGACAGTGTGGTCCCTCCTGACGTCAATTTCGGATGAGACCTGTATGGCTCCACGGAGATCTTATACCTTGTAAGAAGGTCTGGAGTTGGACATGGGACCAGTAGCCAGACCCGAGGCACAGTAAGAGGACGACTAGGGTGGGTATGACCGTGGTAACACAAGTTCACAGTCCTTTGGGTTCGTTTTGGTTTCGCCGGAGGAGGGACGTCCCTTGTCAACACTAGTCACTCCCCTTTTTGAAGGTCGTAAAGCGTCCTGAGGTGGAGACCAGGGTTGCTGCCGGTGACATGTCCATTACAAAGAATCGTCTCCCGGCTTTCCCCTTTCTACCAAGTCTGTCGGACACCGGTTTCCCGAGGTCTAATGTAGCACAGGGTCAAATGTCCCGGTTACCTGAGTGTCCTGTGGATGCCACTAGTCGTCTAGGGAGAACGTCAATACCCTTTTTGTGTGGGATAAGTTGTAAGACAAATGTGTTCAACGATGACTTGTAGGACGTTCCGGGTGATTATTACCTGGCTAACGTCATAAAAATTTAGTCCGTACTTATGAAAAGAAAAGGATAAAGTGAAAAGGAAAATTCAATGTTGCGGATTTTACATGAACTGTAATGTTCGTTTTTTATATTAACACGGTACCAATCAGAAAAACTTGAACGACCCGTATTGGAAGGCGGGGGGGTTAACGTACCCCTCCTGTTCCTTTTCCCCAGTGTTCTCCAGTTTAGAATCTCGTGTGAACATGTTCTTTGTTTTGAAATAACACGGGTTTGTTCAGGACCGAACCTGTGGAGATGTACTAGATGTTTTTACTTGGATTTTTTCATTAGAGGGTACAGTGGATGTTGTAAGCGAGTTCCCTTTTCGGAATCCCGTTTCGACTGTACCAATTTTCTGGTGACTTTTTTTTTGTTTTTTTGGATTTCTGTTCGTTTGGACTTTCTTTGTTAACTGTACAGCCCAATGTGGCGAAAAATTTATAGGCGTCTGAAAACTGTATTTCCAAAAGTAGAACATTAACGGTCTCTCGTATGACCAACTGAAACATTGAACACCTTTATTGCATATAGTCACATTACCAACATTTCGAGATAAATAAGTCGACCGTTTACTTTTGTTAGTATTCTAGTCTTGCTCTAAATAAGTGTTTGCTCCGACCTATGTGTGATGTTTACTCTAGACACTCATTTTCTCGAGACAGTTAAATACTTTGTTGTACAATTGTGTACCAAGACAACAATTGTTTATTTATAGGTTGATTACGTGTGTCGTCAAAGGACAAACTTGTACTCGTCGAAAAAACACGAGTTTGGTAAAGGGGTGTCGTAGTCATTAACTTGTCAGTCACATATGGGGATAGCGTAGGATGTAGTTAGTAGGTAGCTAGGTAGATAGATGATAGATAGATAGATAGTAGATAGATAGATAGATATAGATGATGATAGATAGTAGTAGATGTGGTAGATAGATAGAGAGTAGTAAGAGTCAGATGATCAGATAGTACCATTCCTACGAACGACCATATTTCGTGTAAATTTGTCAATTTGGGTGAAAATATTTCTTGCGTCATTGGTTGCGTCTGAGCCATATTACAGGTGTCGATTGGTAATGATTGTGTTGATGCCCAGTCGAAAAGGTTGTACTGATTGTAAGAATAGTATCAAGAACTATGGTTGGGACGTAAGGCCTATGTATGTGTGGTCATTAGTAAAGACAAACGTTACTTGATCTGGGTGAACTGACGCAAAAAAAAGAGGAGTGGGGATTTCATGGGTTTACTCCTTTCAGGTGCGGTCGTCGGACCTCCAACCGTCCTCAGGTGAGGGGGTCGGGACCAGGGAAATTTACTTTAGTACAATGTCTTGTGTACCCAACTAACAAACCTTACAACTAACAAACAGGAGTCATCACGAGTTAGCCTAAACGAGAAATCAAGGAACCTTTTGTAATCAAAATTAACGTTTCCTCCCGTTCAACTGTAGGTGTACGCGGACAGTTTAGGACTAATTGGAGTAAAGACGGTTGTTATCAATGGCCTTAAATATAACTGTTGTCCGAAGTATTGGTTTGGCGGCGATAGTCACACGGTACGTAAATCTGTGGTATTTTTAGATATTGATTACATACTTTTCTCAGAATGTGGACTCGGCACGGTCCATAGTCAAACGTTTTAAGTGCGTAAAGATTCCCGTTCTCTGGGTTGATGGAGAACAGCATGGACATGGAGGTGTTGGCTATCTCCCTCTCTAGGATGAAATAAACTAGATACTGATTTTCATGCAGGTCAGGGTCAAATGCAGATAGGGAACTGATCAGGGCTCCAGGAGCGTTATTCTCCTCCACACGTATATTATAAAATGACAGAGGGAACTGTGGTGCATTGTCATTAACATCCAATAAATGCACTGTTATTGTTTCGTTATCAGATAAAGGCGGTGTTCCTGCATCTCTCACAATCAGTATAATGTCATATTCAGGTACTGATTCACGATCCAACGGTTCAGACACTATGAGCTTGTAATGCAGGGGTCTATCAGATGACTTATTAAGAATAAAAGGCATGTGCTGATGTATGGATAAGCTTACGTTTCCATTATCACCGGTGTCTCTGTCACTCAAACCTACCAGAGCAATGACACTTCCCACGGGGATGTTCTCATCCACCGTGTTTTTTACAGACTGTATGGTAATTTCAGGATAATTGTCATTCATATCTGTCACGTGGACGACTACTTTACATTGTCCCAGCAAGGGATGCGTCCCTTTGTCTCTTGCCTCAATGTGCATCTCATAAAATGTCATATCTTCATAGTCAATAGTACCCTTCACAGTTAACTCCCCTGTGTTAGGATTCAATGCAAATACATCTTGTGTTTTTTCTGACGTGTAAAGGGTGAATGAGTAGACGATCTCTGAATTCAGACCCTCGTCAAGATCTGTGGCGTTGAGCTTCATCACTAAGGATCCAATCGGGGAATTTTCTGTCATATTTATTGTGTAAGTCTGCCTGTCAAATTGAGGAGGATTGTCGTTTGTGTCTTGTACTCTAACAATAATATTGGCAGTGCCGGAGCGCACAGGGACCCCTCCGTCCACAGCAGTCAGTATTAAATTATGAACAGCCTTTTCCTCTCTGTCTAAAGATTTAGTCAACACCAAATCAACATATTGAGTTCCATCACTGCCCGTCTGAATTTCGATGGTGAAATGTTCACTGACACTGAGTTTGTATGTTTTAATTGTATTTTTGCCAACATCTGGATCCACACCGTTGGGCAGAGAAAATCTCTCTCCCGGTGTTGCTGATTCTGAAACGTCGAGCTCTACTCTGTCTCGTCGAAAATGTGGAGCATTATCGTTTATATCCGTTATTCCAAGTTCAATGTTGAAGATGCGCAAGGGGCTTTCTATGATAACATCAAGCTTTAGAAAACAGGTTGTTTTTGCCAAACAAAGATTTTCTCTGTCCATCTTTTCGACGATATACAACTCACCCGTCTTTTTATTGACATCTAGATATTTTTTGCTATGAAAAATATCAAGTTTTACCTCTCGCTGTGCCAAACCTCCAGGCTCAAGTCCCAAATCCGTAGCGAGATTAGCCACAACGGAACCACTTTCCATCTCCTCCTCAATGGAGTACCGTGTCACTGACAAAGCGCTGGGCCATACCGCAGACAGGACAAAGAAAGTGGCCAAGAAAATCATCCTTCCTTCTGCGGGGAACAATACTCCAGATTCTAAAGACGTGTGTTGGTTTTATAGATTTTTAAGATAGGGAAGAGAACATGTCTTTGGGTGTTAAATAAAAAGTGTATCGTCCAAAAAGCTGTGTCCTGCATCCTTTACAATTGGGTGTGTCAGGACTTCCAGCAGAGAGATGCATTGTGCTTTAGTCAACAGTGACACCATGTGACATAGATCAGTAGCTGTGCAGTTGAATCAATTATGTTGCCTAAGAACTGGAAATAAAATATAGTCTCACAGTTCAGTGACATTGAGCAGGATTTGAACATGTTTAAATAATAATTGTAATTTATAAAGGCTTCCAATGTACTTTCTGGATAAGAATAGCAGTTAGGGCCTATACCAGACTGCATACATTATATTATGTTGCCATACACGAGGGTCCCTGACAGATATCATAAATGCAGGTTCATTTTAAACTATAGACCCTTTCCTTTTATCCAACATCAGGAAAATAATAAGACATGGTTGGATCAATTTTGTAGCAGTTAATGTGCTCAATATTTGCTGCAACATGACTTGGCACATCAGGAGCATGTTATTTTAACATAGATATTTTATCGAGGAATAGGTGAATTCAAGTGCAAGTTATTTGTGGCATTTTTAGCAACAGTGTGACTAACATACTACAATTTTCTTTATGCTTTTTCTTATTTATTGTTTTTTTTTTCTTTAGTTTTGTTTATTTGACAAATAATTTTATTATTAATTAATGTACATGCCCAGTGAAAAGAACATCAAAGATAACACAAGATAGTCACAGAGCTTTTTTCATCTGGTCCTTGTTGTTTGATGTTGTGAAGGTGCATGTGATAGCCCTTTCTGCAAGTGGAGGTTAGCACTCGTCAAAAGTTCATAAATAGGCTATGAGCTGCATATTAACAACATCAATGAATACAATCTACAGCTTACTTTCTGTTTTCTTCATGGCCTTCCTCTGGTTGCTCAGCTGCTGTTTAATAGAAATGCAGGTCATGTGAAATGTCTCTTACATTTAATGGGAATGTGTTGCCATAATGCCTTTCAAAGTTTGTTTGACCCATCGAACCAGGGCAGTCTCTGTCTATTACCCTTTTCACGCTGGTACAAGTTTTTAGATTTTAGACAAGAGATGTAGAAAATTGATTGGTGGATGTTAAATGATGAAATTAAGTTGTGTCTACATTTAAATTACACAATGGGCTTTACACAATTTTCTTTTTCTTTGAAATATGACCAGTTCATTAGAAGCCACATCTCAGTCCGCCTTGGTCATTGCAAGTATCAGGCCAGCCTAGTTATTGATGTATTATTAAACCTCAGATTGAATTAAACAAGATAAAAAAGATGAACGGATTATTCCCGGGCTCAAAACACTGCAACCTTGTAACTGTAACCTTTTAACCTATAACGGTGGAAACAGTTTATGTCATGCAAATTCAATTCAGTTCAAACTCAAATCAATCAAATTAAAATAATGTAACCCTAATAGTAACTTTCTGTTTCTGATATGGATCATACTTAGATAGACTCTGTGAGTACAGTTGATCACTAACATATTACATGTCATTTGGGAAAAGGACCTGATGGCATGAGTGTGCTCCATTTAATAATCTGTATTGCGTTTCTTACAGCATAAACAGTTACTTTATTTAGCATGATATTGTAGCAAAAGCTAGTGTTTTTAAGGATAAAAACACAATTAAGTAAATGGTTTATCTAAATATGAACATGTTGTCATTGTTTCAGTGACTACTGCTTCTTTAGGTGCACCTATAGTGGAGTAGAAGTATAAAGCAACATAACATATCCACACACAAAGCAGTTGTAACAAATGTGTGCTTAACTACTTGTTTATTAAATATACTACACTACTTTCCACCACCAGCTGTATGTTGGACCTTCTAAGTCCTTAGGTACAGTAGCTCATTTTGGATGTAAGGATCTGATATTTAACCGACTGTGGCCACATGATTCCTCCTAGAGACCAACAGACATCTTCATTATTCACAAATGTAGCCACTGATGAGAGATGAAGGCAATACAAAATGTGTCCTCCAGCCCAAGTTTATGATTATGTTCTAGAGGTGTTGTTATATATTGTCTGCTTTCTCCTTTAGTTAGTGCAACACAGCACTCTGAGTTGTCTCATCTAAATAGCAATGTTGAAGCTGTTGCTTTGTAATTCTTGTTTTGGTGTCTGTGACGTATTGGAGATCTCAGTCAGCCTGCTTATTTTTTTATCCTGTAACGATCTGCAGACAGATCATGTTTGATACTTTGAGCCCGAACACAGACATGGATCCTTTGACTGTTCCAACCTGTAAAGAGCTTAAAGGTCAGAGGTGCAACACCATGCCTGAACAGCTTTCACTGGAATAATCCATCACTTCTGATTTTGATACATGCTATATTGAGTTTAGAACAAACAAGGCAACTTTTTACAGTGTGAAAAGTCACAGAAATCGAGGGGAAATATTGGGCATAATATGAGGGGGTTGAGATCAGTGAACAAAGTCACACAAATCTGATGAATTAGCAATAAAACAAACTTTTCAAATACAAACTGAGAAGTATTACCATCCTACGTCACTAGGGTGCGACAAAGCACCAGGTTTGGTTCAGGTTAAATAATAAAAGCATTGTTATCCTACACGATCTGGGACGGTGTTCTTATAGTCTCACACAAAGAAGAGCCTGTGGGTTTTTATTTGAGGAGACGAATCTGAATAATATTGTATTCAATGTCCCTAAATCAACACACACCAAAATAAAAAAAATAACACATTAACTGAATAGTAATTTGCTGCATGTAACATAACTGTGGAAATATTTATAGATGTGGTTGCTCTGTGTCTGTCTCAAAAAAGAACAAGAGAGCTGCACGCTCCTCGGCCCCTCCCGCTTCCACTCTGTTGTTTTTGTCTCCCCAAATGAATTCAGCCAAGCATCATTTTTTTCTTGTCTTTTAGAGTTTTGGATGACGTCATTGTAACCTCCCAGTCTGACACACCCTGAGTACAATGCAAAAATAATCTACTCTTCCAACCTAAGACTTTGGTGTGCCGTCTAATGATTGTTACTCCTTGATGCCATCTGGTGGAGAAATCTGTTCTAAAGTCAGTGTTACAGTATGTTGCAAGATGGTGCATATGCTCATCATAGTCACAGTCATTGAGAGTGGATATGAAACATTGATGCATACAATACAATATCATGCAGCTGACTGCGATTAATGCTAAAAATACGATTACACTGAATAAATGAATTGACCCACCACGGTCAGCTGCTACGTTCAAATGCTTCTATCAATCCATAGAGATATTATATTACATTGTGATACTCGCACAGGGTCGTAATTATTACTTTTACTTGTAATAGTTTATAAGTTTGCAGCAGTTTCTTTAGTTATTTTTTTATTTTTTATAATTGCATGATTGCTGTGACAGCGTTTTTGTTTAGAAAAATCTGAATATGTCTCCCACAACTGGCCTTAAAAAACTTGATTGATTTAATGTGTTAACTAAAGAGCTGATGAAAGTCATGCAATACATGTTGGTTATCAAAGTGTTAAGGGTGGCTTAATTTGCATTCAAGATTCGTTTGCGTGTGTCCGTGTCATGAAGAGGAAGAAGCGTGCCTCAAAAACATTACATTCAACTAACTGCACCTGAGTTCATTGAGTAGGGTCACATGCGCCTTCTGGTGGACGAATGGATACATAGCATCTGGTTTGGAAAGAAGCACTGTTCAAAAACTATTTCAGCACTATGGCCATGGAAAGCTGCCAATGCAAATGACCCACATGGTTTAAGGATGTGGGGGATACGACTTGCCCTTTGCTGAGTATCATGTTGCTGTAAAGATAATTTTATTACAATAATTTAACTATTTTCAACAAAACACTAAGTATAACATATACATAATGTGTCTATGCTATGTAGCTTGATCCCCATGTCCAAATTATTGAAAAAAATCTAAATTTATTTAAATAAAAAAGTATTCTTTTAGCAGATAGTAAGCATAATAATTCTGCCCCTCTGATTCCTGAACAGAACTCTATTCCTGACTCATCTGAAAGTAAGCCAAGCTGGACCTAAATACGGCTGCCCCCTCAGCCGTCCCTGTGGATCACCTTACCGCAGAGAAGGTTAGCCTGCTCCCCTCCATGCTCCCTATGGACACCCGTTTCCTTATTAACAGGATTATTTTCAGTCTGAGCCATACAACGACCTAATTACCCTGCTCATTTCTGGCCAGTGGCCAGCTCTCATCTGTTGACTGTATAACTAATTCCCTGAGAAGTAAGATGTAAAGGGCACAGAGAGAGAAGTCATAGGGTCTGTAGCTCGCATCCAGGTGTGGCATTTGGAGCTGAGCCCCCCTCCCCCGGATGCTTGTATGCGTGTTGGTGGTCTTAATTAAAGTGATATTTCGAGAGAGGAGGTTCTGTTTGTTCAGTTAATGAACCCCACAATTCTCTGCGGGCAAATGGAAATGCAAGCACTCCAATTAGCATATGTTAGCATTTTACTATGTTTATTCCTCGCTGTGGAAAACAGCTTACCAAGGCGAAAAGCTTTTTACCCTTGTAGGAATAGCTGTGGAACTTTTTCACCCCAGAATAATTGACTCGAGCTAATTAAACATAGATCTGAGAAACTTACATCTAAATGCTTTATGCGTGTAGATAGACCAAAGCTGTGATTGAGTGTGTGCATCAGTGAGCGTTGGTAGGGTTAAAGGCCTTGAGCTTTAGGAATAACACTTGCATGTTTCAAACACATACGAACGACAATATGAAAAAAATACTTTATTTTCATAAATGTATACAGTACATGTGTGGGGAAAATCCCCTCTTTACAGTTGTCTGCGTCATGTGGCAGCTTGCATATATATGATCATGTTATTTATCATATTCACTCAAGCTCTGTTAGCATTCAAAAATACAAAAAGAAAACACTTTTTCTTTTCATAAAGCCAAAAATATAAATTCATAATGATGTGCAAAATTATTTACCACTAATGCTTTTTTGAAACATTTTGGATGTAATGCTTCTCCGGTTTGATTGTCTAAATAATAATAGGCAGACACATACATTGATCATGTTACACTGGCGTGAC